CAATCAGAAAATCTTATTAGCTGAATAACGAGAAATTTCAACAAGAACATTTGTTTGGAAAGACACATTGTTAGAATATATGAAAAAAGAATGTAAGTGACTAAACTCGTGTTTTTCAACATTAGCCGACCTTCTTGACGCGCCTAGATGCACCACCAATACGTCGCGTATTCTTTTCGATTTCATTGAAATTATTAATGACCTATCCATTCGAATGAAAATATCTAATTATACGAATAAGTTTCGTTATAATCTTGAGATTTCTGGATATCATATGTAAATAATCGCATGAAAAAATGCCATTTTTATTACTAGTAAAACATCACACCAATCTGTCTGAGATATTTTGCTTTCGAGGAAAAATGTATATGCGTTTATTCCTGCCGACCTATCAATCTAAGATGTGGATGTTTATAAATCTAATCAACTGATATGATCTCTAATATCCACGCTACGTAATTTTCAAATAGTTGTTGTATATCAGGGCAAAATCGTTGGTAATGATTGTAACAGTGTTATTAGAAATAACATCAACTATAATGCATGGAAGAATACCAATTACATTATTCAAATGAGAGTATTTGGTTTTGGTTAATTATGATAATAAATTGAACCCAGTCGTTCAGAGTAATTGGTGATTAGATTGATTATAACATGCAAGTGTTAATTTCTTTCCTGGAACCATAAATTTATGCGTTTCTATATTGTGTATATAATGATATAGGTATTAGTTATTATTAGAATTGAACAAACTCAGGCAGCTGGATATCAAATGAAAATTTCAATCAATTAGATAATAGTTGGGAAATGAGCAGTAAAGTGTTGAATCAAAAGAAATAGTTGAAAAAGTATTTCTTTTGATTCAACACCAAAATTACTCACAGAGGTGAGGATATATTGACAATCAATTGTTATATCACACCAAAAAATGTAGATTACTATTTATCATTTCATCAAAAATTCATGGAAAATAAAAATTTTTTACTGAAAAATGTAATCCAAAAATTTGTTCATCCTTCATAAAAGCAAAAATTTTATCAATAGAAAATTTTCCAGAAATATTACTTGATATAATATTTTTCAAAAATTAGTAATACAGAAAGTATCATTAGTAGAGATATGGAATATAATTGGATACTATTAATTTCCTAATACTGGAAAAGCCACCACTAATATTTTTAAAAGCAGGCCTTTTAAGTGAAAAGGCGAACCTTTTCCATAGCTACCACAACATTGTATAACTCTCTTTTTCATTAGTTCGGACTTCCATTGTCTAATATGATATAAAATAATTTAAAATCCTTAAAAGAACCAATACGATTGGGGAGGAACAGTGGTTTAGGAGGAAACTCAAAGAAGCCGCATATATGTTGTCCAACAACGTATTCAGTCAAGCTGGCGTAGCGTATGGAAACCCATATTCTAGCAGACAGTGCTTGCATTTTCCTACATCAGAGAATTATCGAAAAGGATACGTGATTTGGGTCCAAGTACAGCATCAAAACATCCGTAGCAGCCTCACGAAAACCAGTGCGGCAAAACCTATATCGGTGAAACTAAGAGACCATAACATCACGTGGTCTCAAGATTAGATCGTTCACAGAGAAGAACACTGGTGATACTAACTACCGAAACGTCGTGAAGTTACTTGGTTTGATTTCTTTTAATTTTTTTTATTTGCATTTTTTGTTCAATTGTTATTTTCAGCTTTGTATTTCAATTTTCAATTGTATTGGAAGTCCGAACTAATGAACCATGGCCAAACACTATCAAACAAACATATAACTTCCTTGATTATTCCACACTGATCTGGAATGTTTCGAAACGCTCCAAATTGTGAACGAACCTTGTACCACATTCCGGAATGTTTCGGGATGTACTGAAATGTTTTAGAACTTCCAGAGAGCCAAACTTCCATTCCGCGTATCTTCAAAAGCACGCCCTCACATGAAAACTAGAACCTTCTTTGCAAATGGGGGATAGAGAGCTATCACATAACCCATCGAATTGAGATGTTCCGGGGTTTTCCAGAACGTTCCAGACTATTCTCCAACATTCCACCACGTTTAAAAATACTTTGGAATGTTCTGGACTATTCTAGAACATCATGGTCGGACCGCTAGTATCTTTATGAGTTGGATTAACTTCTAATGACCATGAAGTTGTTGCCGCACAATTAAACGAAAAAAGAACTGTCTGTATATATTGTGTGGTGTGATATATTCGAGCTTCTCGCTATCCATCAGTACCGTAACCATCTCATTCAAAAATTGTTCAATTCATTACAATCACATGTTGTGCAGTAATAGATCATTGCCTGGGGTTTTGTAGGTCACACATATGTGCCACTTCGAGAGGAATAAGTGGAAATGTCACCCTCTTGAGGATGTTTAGAAAAGCATAATGTAGTTTATTAGTCGGTACAAGTCTTTAATAATCTCCCATAAAGTCTGCCGTCAGCGAAGGATGATTAATTGCCAAGGCTGGAGGTATTCACCTGTTTTGAAACTCAATATGTTAGTCTGGTGATTTGTCAACATTTTCCCAAAATTCGTCGAACCGTTATCGATTCCATTTGAAGTTTCTGCTCAGATACACATGATCATTGCTTTGAATGACAGGTTGTGGAGCAAAATTGTTGGAAAAATCGTTTTGAAAAAAAAATCGATTGATTAACTCAGACATTATATTGACTGAAGAAAATTCGTGATTGAAGTTCCTTTGCGTCCTTGAAAACATTTTTATTATTGTATCATTTGTATTATACGCTATTTTCAAAAAAAGCACTTTTGCCAAACACCAGAACAACAGTATCCCGATTTGGAGTCTCCAGGAAACTGAGTTTTTTTCATCTCTTGAAGACGTCAATCTGGTAAGGTAATCGCGCGTTGCACAACACGTGCAAATAATAAAAATGATTTGTCAAAATGAGCAACGTAGCGCGCGCTTCGCGGTACGTTGCCTAAAATATACACAGTATAATAAATGATATCTAATTTGATTTTTAACGAATGTTTGGAATACAAACTGAGTAAAGTATTCATAGAAGAACTTGTTTTGAAAGAAATTTTCTTTCGTTTAATTCAATGTTTATATGAAACTAGCTGTTTCAGGAGGGCTTTTTTCCAGTTTGTATCTGAAAATCAGGTACTTCTTTGCATGATCTACAGATCTATGTATGAAGTTATTTCTTTTAAAATTGATTGCTTACTTCCTTTCTTTGGAAGATTCTCACATTTTTTTATTTTTTTTATCAAGATGGAGTAGTAGAAAGCCAAAAACTTTCTTTTCAAAAAAATTAGTCACTTCTAAAAATATAACCCTTCAAGTTAAACACTCAAATATTTCAAGAATAATTGGACCCATTATCAAAATTCCAGGGTGTCTTATAACATCAAATATCGAAAATCAATAATCGTAACAAAAAAAAATAATGAAAAAATATTATTAGCAGAGCGTGGTTTCGATCCACGGACCTCTGGGTTATGGGCCCAGCACGCTTCCACTGCGCCACTCTGCTCTTGACAAAAAGTATTCGAAATTCATTTATGTTCACAAATTCCAGTTTCATTCAAGTTTTATGCTGTAGGACCTATACAAAAGATCCCAAGGATTACTCATATGCTAAAAACCGACCAGAGATATGATGGCTTCCACCACTGGCCTGTGAAGATAAATCAAAGAGTCCTCTATATTGTCACTTAGAGAGGTGTTCGGACAGATCATTTCGTAGCTCTAAATGTTATGTTTATCTTTGTCTCAGTAAAAAACAATTTTTTATTGCATTTCATACAAAATTAGTAAAATTGACGATGATAATGATGGAATTCAATTTTTAGTTAGACTAGAAAATTACAAATGTGCGAGTGCACCAGTATAAGCACAATCACCAGTACTTTTGCATATAATTCAGTACTGAGCAACACAATTGTGAATATCCTGAAAATCCTGAAAAATTAAAGAATGAAAAATTTCAAATACTCATAAGGGTTCAGAAGTAACCAACAAATGAGAGCAGTGTTAATTTCGAGTTAATTTTTCAATTTTTTTATTTCTCGTAAGCCAAAGGACTTCTAAAGTCTACTTGCCTGGGAGTTTGTCTTGAGAAAAGAAAACGAAAAAATAAATTGATATATTCAAATAATCTAAAGTAAAGGAACAATTCGTTCAGGCAAGTCTTCCTTTAACTACACAGTAGATTCATGGACTGATACCTATCAGAAAACAACTAATTTTCTAGCTAATACAACGAAGAATGTTGCACTGACAAGTGTCAGTGCAGGATTCTTCACAGAAGAAACTCCTCCATATGCTTTTGGCGATACAACTGCCGAAATAGATTTTCAATCATTGGAACGGACACACTAGCAGACCGGTTTCGGGCTATTTGGCCTCTGATAGCTATCAATCCATAAACCTACAGTGTAGGTTACTGAAGACTGCTGGCCTGAAAGAATTGTTCCTTCAGATGATTGGCATTAATATGTTCAAAAATAAGCTTGGATCTCAGGTTTGCCCAGAACACAAATACACCAATATGTTAATGTAAAAAATACATATATAAAATGCTTGTGGAAGATGTATATTATGTGGTTGGAATTGTATACTCAGTAGCTCAATTTATCCATTGTTTGTTTGTTTTACTTTTAAAAATAGAGCGTTTTGTATGTTTGATTGAAATGTGACTGATATTCTATACAATGTACCTATTTATATTAACTATATATGATTTTAATATGATATCTTTTGTCGTTAACTGAGATTATTTATATTTCAAATTGAATGGCAAATAAATATAATAATTATTATTATTTATCATTGTTATTTTTTGACTTGTAGCCAGTCTTCAAGTATGCCCACTTACTAAAGATGTGATGTATTCGAGCATTTTTGCCCCAAATCCCCGGAAAATCGCTCAAGGTTCTTTTTAGCATTCTTTATGAGCATAGTAGCAGAAGTTAATTATAACAACCCACTCTAACTGCATATTTTGCTCACAGGCATGCCAACCCTCTCAGTCGCTACCGCCTCCAATACAGCAACAGCCATTCCCAAACGAGTCCCGGAAAATGACCAAAACATAAAGAAACTAACGTGATCGAGACCGTCCAGAAAACACGATGCTGTCGGCGGGGCTAGGATACGGGGGTGGCCAGAGCACCGTCTCCGTAACAAACGCCACGCCCCCTTACAGCCCTCCGCCGCCGACGAGGCACAGCCCGCTACCCAGTTTTGGATTCACCCAGGAACAAGTCGCCTGCGTTTGTGAGGTAAGGGTGAACGATCAGTTAGTGGGGGAAAGGGTCGTTTATTGTACGAATATTGTTGAAAAAGTGACCTTTTGTTGCTTGGCAGATGTAGCGTTTCATCAAATAATTGGTGTTAGTTCGAGCCGGGAAAGAAAAGGCAGAGGAATTGAGACTTCTTCTCAATCCTTATGAAAACATATTTTATAACATTTCCTCTTGCAGAAAAAAATCATCATCGAAACCTGACGCCATAAAACCATACTTTTATATACCTTTATTTTCTCCTTTTTCTCTTTTTTGAATATGGGCGCTCCAGAATCAAGTTGCAACTATCAATACTATCTATCTATTGAAAACACTTCCCCAGAACCAGAACAAAATTACGGTCTCTCGACGCGCGTTTCGCTAACCAAGTTAGCTTCCTCAGGAGATTTCCTCGATTTCCAAGCCTTCCAAAGTTTTCGAATAAAAAACAGATAAATGATCAATCTCATTGACTCTTTTTTGATAAATTACTTCACCTTCCTCATTAACTTTATCATTACCAGTTGATAATTTCCAAAATGTTGGAAGGATGGATTGGTTATTCCTCTGGCTAAGTGTAACTCACCTACTGTCATTTCTGACCTAAGACCAATTACAATTCTACCGTGTCTCTCTAAAGTAGTGGAATCGATACTGAAAAATCAGATTAATGAGTAGGTCAATGAAAATCATATTATAACATCTGTACAATCAGGATTCAGAGCTCAGCATAGTACCACCACGGCTCTTCTGCTAATTACAGACGAACTTTTTCAAGCTGCAGATGAACAAAATTTGACCTGTTTATTACTTCTAGATTACAGCAAGGCATTTGACACTCTAGATTCTAGATCATGAGATATTGTGTGACAAACTTGTCTACTTCGGTTTTTCTCGGAAAGCAGTGTCACTCTTAGAAAACTATCTGAAGAATCGTACTCAAAGAGTTGTTGTGGATGAAGAACGTTACAGATGCTCTACCGGTACTGAAGGGAGTGCCACAAGGATCTATCCTTGGGCCCTTGCTTTTTAGCTTGTATATTTGTTATTTTTATCTGTCCGTAAAAAAATGCAACTTACATCACTATGCAGACGACACGTAGGTATATTTCTCTTTTTCGCCTGGCGAGTCTACATCTGCTCAGTCGTATATTAATAACGATCTCCAAGCCATCTTTGGCTCAATTCTGACAAATCCGCAATAATGATGTTCGGAGCTAAGAAGAACAGAGAGCTCACCAACTCTACTTTTCAAGTTCGCATCGAAAACGAAATACTTCCCTCCGTGGCCGAGATAAAAAATTTAGGATTGTGGTTTGATCTGGAACTTCGCTTTACTAAACATGTCAGCTACCTGAACCAATCTTCTTATAACGTTCTCAGACTGCTATTTCCGTATCGTGATTTGCTCAACACAAATTTAAAACATAGACTATGCGAGTCTCTGATTATGTCAAAAATTTCCTATTGCGGCAGTATTTATGGATCTGATTTAAAACAATCGGACGCTCTCCGACTACAGCGTATTCATAATTAGCTGTCTACGTTTCTCGTTTGGTATACGGAAATACGACTATATATCCTCAGCAATGCAAGAATCAGGATGGTTAAATGTTGAGAAACTTGTATGTATAGCGTACTAAATTCTCTATCGATTAGTAAATACCATGACACACCATAATGAATATTTTTGAGATATGGAGCTACAAAAACGAATCACATTATTCAACGGCAACGACAATTTACCAACACATATTTAAGAAAATGTGAGAAACTACAAAGTATTTTTGAATATCTTCCAATGATTTTAATATTTAACTTGGTTAAGAGTTGACTGTACTCATATTCATTTCGTTGAGTACCAAAGTGAAAAGCACAATTCCTTAAAAAAAGTGTTACACATTCTCAATCAAATCGATATTTACATTATAGTATGGGACCCATATAACCGAGCAATATTCAAGAATGGATCTTACGAAAGAAGAATATAATAGCTTTTTTGTTTTAATTGAAAAATCAGTAGAAATTCTCAACACAAAACCCAGCATTTTGAGACTTTTTGCTACAATTTCTGATACTTGAACATCAAAATTAATTTCGTAATCAAATTTAACTACCAGATCGCGAATAAATGTTTCTCTTTCAAGAGCTATATTATTCAATATTTATTCAAGGAATATTGGACTTCTAATTTTAGCGAACGTAATGATTTGACACTTATTAATGTTAACCTCTAACAAATTATTTCTACACCTACACAAGTAATTGCTCGATAAAGTTTGAGATCATCTGCAAACATAAGAAATTCTGAATATTTGTCCGATACAACGGCAGTGGGCCCATATGGGATCCCTGCGATACCCCTGATGGAACCTGAATGAGCGTAGATGTTGTATCTCCGTATTTTACAAACAGAGTTCTACCAGTTAACAAGCTATTGATTACTTGCGAAACATTCACGCCCAATAATTTCGTAAAAATTGGATCTGTTCAAAACTGTATTCAAAATATTTAAAAAGTTCGAGTTGAACTAAATTATAACTTTCAAAACTTGAATCAATTAGAAGCATTATAAACATTTTGGAAATATGATCCTCCTTCTTTTTCAAAAGTGACACTATATAATTTATATTTTCATTCGCCCCTCCACAAATAAAGCTAATATAAATGATAACAATGAACGATGACATTTTGACTGGCATTATCTGATGATCTTTATTGGTTGATGCCTATTTCCACCCTTGGTGGTAGTAATTGTTTGTGATATTGTGAATTCATCCCCTGTGGATTTCCCTGTGGTTTTTTCAATGGGGAAGAAGTCCTCCATCCCATGAGACAAAGAAACGTGTTCGAAAGTATTAATCAGGAATATTTTAACTGAAAGGCTAGATCAGTATCTACATTAGACATGAGTAATATTTTTCAATACATTATAAATAGTAATTGTTGACATTTATATGGAAAATTGAAATATTGTGAATACACTGACCCGTAACTGGATGAAAATTAAACACTAACTAAACAAAAATAATTAGACAAATGTGTAATTAATATCATCAATTATATGGAAAAAATGTGAATTGGATAACGAGGCTTAAACAATATATGAAAATAGCATTTAAATAAATAAAAGTAACTATTTTATTCCGTATTTCCTTTATTCCGTTACTAGCTTTTACCCGCGGCTTCGCTTGTGGGTGACAGAAGAAAATAACAATAAATATAGAGAAATTCCCAACAGCTGAAATTGTAGTCAATTGGATTGGATATTGTCGTGACTGTCAATAATACAGTGTATTACGGCACTAAGGGTTGTAGCTAGATTTTGAGATTTTTTTGACAAACAAATTTTTTTCTCTTACATCAAAAATAATTTTTTCCATCAAAAGTATCCTATGTTACTTCTAAAACCTCCAAGAACACGTGTACAAAATTTCATGATGATCGGTTGAGGAGGTTTCGCGTGAAACCGTAACAAACAAACTTACATTCGCATTTATAATATTAGTAGAGATTTTTGTGTTATGAAGAACCCATTTTATTGTTGGTAAACTTCTTCATTACAAAATATATTTGAAAAATTGATCTTATGTTTTTGAAATGAATAACGGAAAAAGGTTTCCATAATTTTTTATGTTAGTAGAGTTTTCCGATATTAATCTACTTTTTGAAATCACTGTCTTTACATGCAGTAAAATGTTCCAACTCCATTTTGTGCAGTTCTAACTGTATTTTTAATAGAAGAATGTCAGTGAATTGAGTCGTTGAATAGTCATTTTATTTATTTATATCAATCCTGTCGTTTACAATAGTATTAGTTGCAGAAGATGAATGTTCAGTTTTTTCACAAGTGGATAATTTCCAAAGATTCTGAAAAGTATAGATAGTTACTCTTCAACATGCCCATATAAAACAAGATTCATCTACCACTTATAGGTATTTCTAAGTTTATCTTTAACTCCAATTACACACAATCTCATATTATTTCCCTTAGCAAAGCAAAGTACCCCAGTTACTTCTAGATACCCATTTGAATTGTGTGAAGTGCATGAAATGCTTTAGGCTACTTACTTATTTATATGACGTAGTATAATATGTTACCATTTTTTTGAGATTGAAATGGATTTAGTGAGGTATCCTCAAAAGATATTCATATGCCACCACGGACTTTAGTATACCTATAAAAAAGAACAATATGTAGGCAGTTTAGTTTTTGAGTTAATGTTGTTCAGATAGACAGACAAAGACTGTGGGGACTTTAATCCATAATACTCATTGATTTGAGATAAAATTCACTAATTGAATCATTATAGACTCAAGTCATTAACCTAACACGTTGAGTTCGAAGAGAACCCAAGAACCATCGCGATGATTGTCATTTCAGCCATATGGATAATACTAGAATGAATGAAAATCACTCAGGCAGTTATTCTGAAAAATTTTTCAGAATGATTTAGTCTGTCTTTGTTTTTTTTGAGATTTTGCCTGCTAGAGTTTTGTTAGAACACTACAAATGGAATTTATCAAAAAACTTTTATGAAAACATTTGAAAGTGTAATCCAATACAGGCATTCCTTTCAAAATTCAAGATTTAACTGAAACCTCTGATAATATATTCAAGTAATAAAGAGCAAAGAACCTTCAGCTTCTGTTTTTGAAAATTTCATTTGCTATTTATGAAGAGAAACATCTTGATATGCTTTTTGTACCCTAAAAAAATTACTCACTATTTTGATAGTCATCAGTTTATGATCTATTCTCATGATATTTATGAAACTTTTCATCATACTCGTATTGAAACAATGTTGGTAGGATGAAGTCATACTCGAAGATAAGCGATAGCGTTTTTACACGAGAACCGTTGATAAAACCATACAAAAAGACAAAGTCAGGGAATGGCTAATGGTCAGCTTTACACCCACACGGCTACAGTATAGCACCACAGCAAACAGTAATGGTAACTTGAGAAGGTTGAACAAGGAATGATGAATGGGCTC